ATATATATATATATATATACGTATATATATATATATATAAAATTTTTTAAGAGTATTTCGAGAGTAAGTTCAAAGTAATAAACATCTTGGTAGAAGAGAAACTTACTATTGATATTTTAAATGAAACTGTCAACAGATCCATCACCAATAGAATTACATTAACTTTTCACATGTTTCATCTTCATCATCGTAATCATGTACGGCAAGGTGAAAGGCCTGAGGCCTTTCCTTATTAAGCAGGAAACTGGCTTCCTATAAGCTGTTGCAAATCTTTCTTTCATTTTTTTAATATATTCCTGCTAAATTTTGCTGAATATTTTTAACTTCCCTTGTTATATTTATTGTCTTAAGTCCAGGGTTAGTTTTTTTGCATGAGTTTTTAATGAATTTTTGTTTCTTAAAGTCCACAACACTTGAATGATTATTATGCAGTAATTTGTTGTGTGTTGAAATTGAATTCTGAAACAAAAGTTGATGGTCATAAAAAGTAGTGTCTTGGTATGTTATTTCATTACATTTCAAATATGTTGAAAAAAAGATTATCAAGATTTAATTTTGCTTCGTATATTGTTAATTGAAATTATTAAATTTGTGAATTTTGATTTTTTTATTAAAGATCAAAGAGGAAAGTTAGACTCCTTTAGTTCACATAAGAAACGAATATTCTAGTGCTTTGTTGCTTATTAGCAGAGTTCAGCATTCACTTGTTCATAAATTTTCCCCACTACTTGCAAAATATATAGGATACCAAGCGCAGCATTCACTCTGTATTATGCCACGGTAGTTCTACAATTAGTATTTTTTCTGGTTTTACTTTTCGATTTGTATATATTTAAGTTTTGAGGATGCGAAGGTTAAATTTAATGAAGCTACTGGCAATCTTTTTTATTTCTTAATTACTTCATGCATTTCCATATCTAAGAGCTTTGTCACCCTTTTGTTTCAAAAGTTGGTACATATAGTGGAGGTAATTTAGAACAAGTGAACCTCAAGTTCTTCCCATAACCACAAGATCGCTAGAATCTCCAAAACAACAAATGGAAAGAAGTAATTAGATAGATGCTGAAAACTGCCACAGAACTTGAATAGGGTCTGTCATTTTCTGCGCTTTCAGTTGGAAACCTCTTATTCCATCACCTTGTAGGGCAGTAATAGCTATTTTGACAGATGAAGTTTGTGACTTCAGAAGCTCACAGGCCTTAAGATCAGGAACAGTTTCTTCAAATTTGTTTCTACTTCAAATGTAAGTCACTGCACTGGGTGACAACACCTAACAGGATTTGCCGCATATGTATTTCATAACATCTGTTTTAAGGGAACATTCTTTAAAAAATTAAAGCTCGTTGTAGAGTATAAATGAAGTGTGATATCCATGTAGCTCCAACATCATTTTCAAGAATTCTTTGATTGAATTGGCCCAGGCCAGGCTTTAAAATAATTGCACTTCAGATTCAGTAGAAGGCTGTAGTTGATGTTTTAACTGCTATGAAGTTCACAGTGTTGTATGTTTTAAGGGAAATGAAAATACAGACCCTCATGCATTAATGCTAAATATTGTTGTGAAAATATTATGGACTTGGGAGGTAGAAATATCTCTTCACTAGGAGATATTTCTGTAAAGCCCAAGAAATGCTTCCAAATAATCCAATAAATCCAAATGCTTCTCTGTGAACACTTATTGATTGGACTTAACACAGCTGGTATTAAGAAGTTCTTTGACGAACCAATGCAAATACCATTTTTCTTGTTATCAGACTCTAAAAAGGTGTGATGAACAAATGACAGAGGCATCAGGGAAAGTATACACGTAACAAAAGCATCAGGAAAAGAAGGAAGGATATGTCAGAAGTTAGAAATGTGCTGAGGAATAAAGACCAGGAATGTCGCTAAAGAAAATTTGGGGAAACTACGATATTAGGGATGTTTTATCATGATAAATGGGTTTAAATATTTTGATGAACACAAAAATATAATTTTATATTAAGTAGGATAAATTTTGTCAAGAGAATGTGAAATTCTTTTATTTTGAAACACAATTTGTATGTGAAAGTGTAGACTTCTGCTGCTGGTGTCAATGTATACTTGACTGTTCGGGAGTCACCACTTTCTAGGCATAGTTGCCAACGATTCAGCCGTCATAATGCAATCTTCCTCAGAGCAAAATGCAGGGAGATGGACTCCTCATGGGTGGATATAGGACATTGAACCCAGTTAAGATATAAATTGCTTCTGTAAAGGTAGACTAAAACATCCTATTCACATAGAGGAACATGAGGGACTTTACTGTTTTCCATGTAACCAAAGGCCAAACATTGTTTGTTATGGGCGTCAAATCTGAGTTATACTCTGGCACTGCCTGCTAGAATTAAAGTGGTAGCCAAAGATGTGCTTGGGCACAGGACTGAAACCATTTAAGATCATTTTGTGAATGTTCTGGGAAAGAAAAGAAGAAGAAGAAAAAAATACAGAAACAACAACAACAACAACAACAACAACAACAACAGGAACAGCTAAGAATTGTAGACCTAAATGCTATCATATCAGAAAAATAGCGACGGATTTGAATTCCTTCCAAAAATACTTAAGCACGCACGCACACACGCATGCACGATGGTATCAAAATTTGTTTTAAAAATAATTAATTCTACAACAATGACTGTGAGGGATATGTTGTAAAACAAGGAGATTTTTACTTTCTTGTATATGTATGCATATATAGGATAATATACATAGTATAAAATCAATTTCAAAATTTCAACTGAAATACACATATTTGGGTTCCCTGATTGTGTGTGTGTGTGTGTGTGTGTGTGTGTGTGTGTGTGTGTGTGTGCGTGCGTGCGTGCGTGCGTGCGTGCGTGTGCGCGTGCGCGCGCGTGAGAGTGCGTGCGTGCGCGTGTGTGTCAGCGCGTGCGCGCGCGTTTTTTCTTTCTTTCTTTTGAAATCGTTCGTCTGTCTGTCTTCGTCCATCCGTCTATCCATCTCATCATCAGTTAACACCACTAGCACCTCAACCAGACATAAGAGAATTTTTTCTCAAATGGATATTCCCCATCTATCTGGCTTGGTTCGAGGAGAAAGACCCAGAGACATTTTCAAAATTTTCTTAATCGTGGCTCCAAAAAGATTGTTTTTTTATTGTTGTTGTTGTTGTTGAAAGAATAGAGTTAAATGTACTTCTAATGATCGCACAGGTCTGTTTTTCACGGTTAACTCTGAATTTAGAACATTTCAAAAGTTCCTTCATTAAAACCATGAAGGTTTATTGAAAGGCACTTTGGGTGGCGATAGATGGTAGTTGGAAAGAATACGTGGCAAATACCCGAATACCAAATACCGAATAGCTAGCCTAGGCCAAAGAAAATAGAAAATTATAATGAGAAAGTCTGTGCCATTTTCTTGCACTATCAGTTTTTCTTTCTTTTCTTCGTCTTCAGTGTATTCTTTTATACAACCATGGGTATTAACTCATAACATTTAATATATTAATTTAAGCATATTTTAATTTAATATAATGATTTAATGCCTAACATATTGTTGGGCATTAAATTATTCTGTACTATAAAGAGATATTTTTAATATCCTAGCAATTTTATTTACTTTTGCATTTAATTATAAACATATTATATCTAAAAATGTATGATTTCTGTCTTATAAGGTTGTTCATCTGAAATTGTGGGTATAATGCAGAATGTTTTTAGTATTTAACTTATCTTCGTATTATTAGTGTTATATCTTCATTACTGAAACAGGTGTTTTCATGATGGTAAATAATAAATTTGCTTTTGAAAGTTATTTTACTAAGCAGAAAAATTACCATAATACCACCTAAATTACCATAGCCTTTGATTATCTCTGTTTTAAGATACACAATTAAAAGGGATTAGAAAAATATTTATCAGAACAAATTTGCTATTTTTTTAACATTTTATAGGCTACAATTTGTTTCCTGACTCCCCCAATATTTCATCATCAAAGAACATTTTTATTTTGTTGATTTTGAGGAGGATTTATGAGGAGAGTAGTGAATACCAAATGCTTTTAATGTGTTTTTGTTTGGTATTTCAAGTGGCAATTACACAGAGGCATTGTTGCATTACGAGAAAGGATTAATGGAGACTATGCCTGACCCTGAACAAGAAACACATAATTCCTTGTGTCGAGCTGGGGTAGCCCGAACTGCATTACGTTGTGGAGACATTCGAAGAGGTGTAGCGATAGCAGGCGATGTGAACAGCAGTCGGCAACTAAAGAGAGAATGTGCTGAGATTTTGGAGAGTATCAAGGTACATACATTCTCCCTTGCATGTCGAAAGTTTATGTCCTCTGCCTTTTCAAATTTGATCTTGCTTTATATTTCTCCGAAAAAATTAATTACCAAATTATATTTCAAAATTAAACTGTTCACTTAGACACTCTTGGAAGTAAGATTGAAGCACAAAGGAGGTACATTGGTTTTCTATGAAGTTTTAGTTGTAATGTTGGAACAGGAATGGTGGGTTAGGAACAATGAACAACTTAGCACATAAATCACATTGTTACCATGGAAAGAGTTCAATATGATATGAATTGGAGTTGAGGGGTTTCACTCTATTCATATTCACAGTCGAATGGAATGAAAGTAAATATAAAAAAATTTGCAGATTGTGTACGAAGTTATTTGTAAATAACCTTCTTTGTTGTAGCAAAACAAGTTGAATTAACTAAATTTATTGCATTGTGTTTTTTACTACTGTTTAATATCCACTGTAAATAATAACTAAGTGCTGTTATTTTATTTCAAATTAATAAACAGTCCATAAACCCAATAGATAAATAAAATTCATCAACTTCTTTGCTATGAAATATCATCTACCGTCAAAAAGAAAAGACTAAAAAAAAAACAGTTCACCGATAACATTGCCATATAGGCCTACAATATTAGATCCCGCAGTCCACTGCACAATGACAATATTCAGTTTAAAAAAATTCATATATAATCCGTTTAAAATTATTTGAAAATTAGGATTAATATTGTTTTAAAGTTTTATTATAATATTTATTTTAAGAAATCTGAGCTTTATGTGTGGAATCGAACACGATAACATAATGCAAAGTGTTTTAATTGGGACAGTCTTAACTATAGAAAAAAATGTGAGGTTGCCCAAAATGTGTTTTAAACTGACCTCAAATTTCTTGCTTGAGAAGTTTAATTTGGATTTTGAGTTTTCAAAGTCTTTCTTTTACATTACAGCAACTTAACGATGCTGCTATATTATACGAGAAAGGCCAATATTATGAAAAGGCTGCATCTGCATATATTCGTTTAAAAAATTGGTCCAAGGTTGGAGAACTATTGCCATATGTATCTTCATCCAAAATACATCTCCAGTATGCCAAGGTAATTTTCAAAGTTATTGATACTTTTGATGAATGCTGTGTGTAATAAACCTTTTATTAAGGTAACACAATAACTAATGTTAGAAAACAAAAAGTTATTGGTTTCTCAAAACAAAGCTCTTATACTGGATGGAATCATGTTTGAAGGTGTTCCTGTTTGGGGTCCTTTTTCACTTTAATGAAATGTTTCTGTAAAACCATTTTCTTAATGTTGTACTGTACACAATGATCTATCTTTACAAGTTCTTTTAGTTTACAGAATTCAAAGTGGTTTTACTTTGTTGCACCTATGTAGTAAAGAGAAAACATGGTAATAATGCAAGAGACATTTTAATTCATTTTCACAGAAAACATAAGTGTTTTGGAGAAACTTCCCAGCACTTGAAGCACATGTACTCATAAATACAATAATGTAAAGAAATCGCTGCCAATGTAAATATTAACAATGTGAGAAACAAGTAAAAAAAATGACATTTTTATAATTTTTGAAAGAAAAAAAATGTAATAGAGCAAAATGCCTTTTACAGTACATTTAGCACCATCCTTACATTGTGGCATCAAACATTTGGAGCCATTGTTGAAAAATTCTTGTTTTTTGTTATTTTTTTTTAATATTATTTCACACTATTGTGCAAAAATTACCAAAATTGTCTAAAAATGAACATGGCCGTAATGAAAGATTTAATTAAGAACAAATTTCACTTGAAGAAATAGTCTCCATCTTCAATTTTGTAGTTGTAGGAAGACGCCAAAAGAAATTTTAATCTTTTGCAATTCAGAGTTAACCCTGAAAATCAGAACTATGCCACCTTTATATGCGTATTTCACTCTATTCTTACAAAAAATTAAAGAAAATATTTGAAGCTATTTTTGAGGAAATTGTGAAAATGTCTCAGGGAATTCATTTTAAGTACCCCAAATTTTTAGCAAATGTTTTTCTAAATTACAGTTCTTTGTGTGAGACCAGATTGACAAGGGAGTATTGAGTTTGGAAAAAATCCTACATATAGTTAAGGCGCATGTGTTGTTCACACACGACAGTCAGGTGGTTACTTTGAAAAAATAAACACTTTTTTCATATCACTATTCGTGTATTTCTATTGAAATCATGAAATCGATTTTCCACAGCAATACATTACTTTCTCTATACCATGTATATATGTATGCATATGAGAAAGTAAAATTGCTGGTTAGAAGAACTTTTCCAGGTTCAAATAGTATTATGATATTATATAGCCATTGCAAATAACGTGAGAAAGTATGTGTTGTACCTTTACTAATATTTTATTCCTTTTTGATGAACCCTTCAGCTCCTTTGTAGGTTTTTCAAGTTTTCTTCTAATTGCATTACTTACAGCTTCACTATGTATTAGCTTTCAGACCATTCATAATTTATTTTAGTAATTGAAAATTGATCCTGTCTGGGAGACTGGCATAGTTGCTATCATTTCAGTTATTATATTTGGATCTTTCTGGAGGCAAATTGCTAAGGAAAGTCATAGTATTACGGCCAAACCATTAACAACTACGCTAAAGATGTGGTGTCTTCCCGGAACAGCCAAATTTCTATCGTCATCAAATATGGAAGCCTACTCTTCCACTTATTTCTCATTCTCATGAGTTCCCTCAGAAATTTATCGGTCTGAGCTTCTCAGTCAAACATATGTCAGAGCTGTGAATCAAACTGCTGTAGAATAGATGAAATGTTAGTTGGGTTGATGGTAGGTTTAAGGTTCAACCAAAAGGACACATAGTTTTCTGTTTTTTAACTCAACTTTGTTGTGTCTTCATAACAGGCAAAAGAGGCTGATGGAAAGTACAAGGAAGCTGCCACTGCTTATGAAGCAGCTCATGAATGGGATAGTGTTGTCAGAATTTACTTGGAGCAACTGAACAATCCAGAAGATGCTGTACAAATTGTGAAGGAGACTAAGAGTGTAGAAGGTGCAAAGATGGTTGCCAAGTATGAATTATACTTTATTTATTTTTCTGTAAATACAATTGCTTGGAATGTGAATGTGGGTGCATAAATTTCTTTTAGTGGTATGCAGTGTTATTTTTATAAGTACATGTATGGTCACATTTTAATTTATTTTGAGCGTTCTTTTCTTTCATCTTTTCCAAGACTGCACATAGTTTAAATACAAGTAGTATATTTGATCTAAAAACATGGTCAATTTTGGTGCGAAGGTGTGTTTTAAGAGCCCCAGAGACAAAAAAAGTTTTTTTTAATAATGTCTCTGGATGAATGTATGACTGTTAAAAGATATGCGACACAAAAACTCAAACAGAAAAGAAGCGTTTGAAACTTGAATGTAAGTCAGGAGCAAAGTCTATTAGTACTGTTAAGTTCCTTTAAGACATTTTAATTTTTGGAAGTATTTAAAAGAAGTACAAGAATTTATTTTTAAACTTCATGAAAATGGTTCCAAATTTTTCTTTACTTATTTGCTATTAAATTATAAATTTGTTAAAATATTTTCATGAAAATCTCTGAATTGCAAAAATTTAACATTTTTTAATTTTCTCTATACTCTTTATTGAAGCTAGAAAATATTAATACATTCAATTTTTCAATATTAGATCTTTAAATAATTTCATACACAGTTTCTTCAAGTATTAATAGTTTTCATGATGGTTTTCCGAAAATACATAAACAGGTTTTACCCAAAAATGGCTCCAAAATTTGTTTTTAATTGTTTAGGAGAGTAATTGAGTAGTAGTAATTGATAGAAAACAATGTTCTACATCTCATGAAGTAAACCCCATTTTACTTAAAATGTTTGATTTTAAAAAAATGTCACATGCAGAACTATTTTGGTTTGTTGTATATACAAAATATTAACATTACAAGTGTTATTTTTAACTTAATGCAACAAATGGTTTAAATAATTTCTATTGAAGTTTTTCAAAGTTTTGGAGAGTAAATTAGTCCAAAATGGTGCATTTTCAGAAACATTTTTTTATCAAAAACAAAATTTTTCCTGATTTTTTTAAGAAAACATGATATCTACATTGTGAGTATTACATGAAAGAAAACTAAACCATAATGTTGATTGCGAAGATATTTATATATTACATTCTATCATAATTTTTGAAAAGTTAAATAACTTTGAGAACTTTTTAATTAAAGAAAGTGAGAATGAAAGTTTTTAAAACTAAAAAACCTTTGAGTATTTTTGGTATGGCAATGCTGTAGAATGTCATTAAGATAAATCGATTGATTGGAAATTATTAATAATTCAGGCATGTTTACGGACTGGCAATCCACTACCGAGTTAAGTATTTACTTTTTAACATATTTAAACCAATATATCAGGCTTGGGTATTCAAGAAGGGTACAAAGATTAATAAGTTTGCATTAATACTGATATATAAATTGATAATAATTTGTACAAAAATATAATAATAGCATAATCTTACCTAAATTTCCACTAGTTATAAACATTGATGTAGTTTTGAATGTGCAGTTATTTAAATACAAATAACAATATTTAACCCTCTCATTAAAATTTTTGTTATGAATGATATCCACAACTTATGGATGATATTCAAGATATTTTCAACATTTAATGACTGCAGACGAATGAGCTCTTGGTCTGCTTTTTATGTGAGTATTTTACTAATCACTCAAGAGAATGGGAGGAAGGCGGGGCTAAATTATTGAAAGTTGAATTCTTTTCAGAAGATAGTATATAAATTAGAGAATATAATTTTTGAAAATATAATTGATATTATAATCTCAATTGTACTTTCATTGTTATATTCTATTCTTAATTTCTCTTAAGTTCAATTAATAAATTGTCATAAGCATCATTATTATTATATTGTACAAATGAGTGAAGAATATTATAATTTCAAAAATTATTTCTTGTATTTGATCCTTGTCCATTGTCCCTGCCAGTCTCCCAGTCCCTAGTAGTTCCCACATATATTTTGTAAATCATAAGTAGGAATCACAATTTATTGTAAATTTCTTCTTCTATTTCAAGGTCTATGCCCTATTTCAGCTGCTAATAATTTACCAGTGGTTTACCTGGGTCTCTTCTGCCTCGGGGCCTGTACATAAACACCTGCTTTGGAACGCACATCTGTTAAGCATGCCTGTTAGAGTTTGTTCAATGGTTCCATATATTCTGGTATTTTAGGATTTTTTTAATCTATATCAACTTTTGTGAAGAAAGTTACATCATAACTCAAATATTTAAAATGGCTAACTTATTCCAGTGTCGTATTTTCCAAAATTATTTTTGTGCATATACAATGTTTTCCCATAAGTGCCGTTGTTGTGATCTTTGTTTTTGAAATTTTTAGAATATATTCTTTGCAAGTTCGGTTCAATGAACTATGCAAGTCATGTTGAGTTTCTTGGTTTATAATTTGATCTTCAGCAAATTGGAGTGTATTTAAATACACTCTTTTTAAGCATAATTCCTGGGTTAATTTTGTTTTTCCATTCTTGAATGACATCATCCAAGTATATGTTAAACAATGTTGGGAAAACGCTTCATCCTTGGCGAACTTCTTTGTTTGTTTTTATTTCTTTTGAATATTTTCCTTCTAGTTTCTATAATAATGAAGGTATTCTGATACAGAGATTTAGTGTTCATTATTAAGAGGTGTGGGTGGCATTTATTTTTCTCCATAATTTCCAATAAAGTAGCTTTTCATAATCGATGGAAGCTAAATGGATCTGTAGATTAAATTCCCTATGTTTTTATATTAGTTGTCGAAAGGAAAAAAAATGACCTGTACAGGATCATCCTTTCCTAAAATGATTTTGTTCTTCTATTATTATAATATCAAAAATATTAACATACCTTTAATTTAAAATATAGTGGCGCGTGGGTGCATGTGTGGGCGTGTGTGTTATGGCCTGCACTATATTTTTTTTTCTTATTATAAGACCTTCTGTTTCCAAAATCTTTCGTAAAGCTTCTGAAGCCACATCACCTTGAATTATAGTTTTGATATTTACCCATTTTTCTTCTAGATCGGTATTAGGGATGGTATCTTTAATCTTCTTTGCTATTCTGGTTTGATATAAATATTTTATGCTCTCTTGTCACGGGAGTTGAAACTCGGAAGACGTCTTCCTTTTTCTGATTCTCATGGTAGATATTCAACTATTTTTCTTCCCCCTTGCTAAGATTTCTGTATCTGATTTCAACAAGTTGTGGTCTGAATTTATGTTACTTCCTCTATATACTCGTGTATCTCTCAGTTCACTTGTCAATTTCTTATTCACAATTATATAATCTACTATTGATCTCAGACCTCTTGCTATTCATGTATACTTATGAATATCTTTCCTGCGAAAGAATGTATTAGTTTTTTCTAAGTTGTTGAAGGTTGCAAATGCTCTAAGATCTCATCCATTTCTATTCAAGTGATTCTATCTTACTATTTGAGTGATAGATATATTACCTTCTCTGGCATTGAAGTCTCCCGCCAATATTACATGTTTATTTTATTGGCCTTATGATTACGTTGTTGAAGAACTTCATAGAAGTCTTCAGTTAGCTCTTGAAGAACGCAGGTACCCTCTTTCTATTTTTAATCTTCGGTCAATATTCTATCATTGATTCTATAACTTTCAATTTTGTTTTCTCATTTTTTATCTATAAGAATTGCAACTCCACGTACTGCTCTTCTTCTTTGTTCTACCCCACTACATTCATTTCATAGTTTTCCAGGTCGTTTGTTCCTTTAAGTTTAATTTTTGTTTCTGAAATTATGGCAATATTTTTTTCTTCCTGTTTTAGTCTAGTTCTATTTCTTTTGTGGATAGACCCCTCACATTCTAAGTAGAAATATTTAATACATCCTCTATTATATTCCATATCTCTTAACCTTCTTCTATCTTCTTTGAGCTTGCGAGTATAATATTTTTTTGTCATAATAAAAATGTAATAATTTATTGTAATAGAAAAGGAAAAATCTACATACATATGTATTTATTTTTTCCAAAATATTTTTTTAAAAAAATGTGAAATAAAAAAAAATATTATAGTGTTTAAAATTTCTCTACATAAGCATTTTATGAGCACAGAATATCACCAATCACATCTTATCACGGATCCGCAGAAACTGAAAGAAAGCTTGACCCGTACAGAAGTAATTGTACACTAGTTTCTTTTGAAATATAAAATATGTTCATCATATATACAATGTTGTTTACAAGCAACTGGTGCTCAAGTAAATAATAGTACCATAATGTCAGTGATGGATCCCAGTGGTAGTAGTGGTACTGGCCTACTCCAACAACAGTATCAGACAATGATCTGTATTCCTGATATTTGACACAATTAGTGCCTAAATTCTTACATTTTCTCCAAATCATTTTAATATCTAAATTGAACATTTCAATACACTAAAATAAGGAATAGTTTAGTATGCCACACATTCTGTTGTTTTATACAGAAAACACTGTATAAGTTCAGTTTTATTACTACTTTGTAATTTCCATAATTTTGTGCACATATATTTCAATAATTTGCCAAGAAAATGAATTATAAACCCAACGTACATTGTACGATAGTAAAAACTTAATTTTGATGGTGAGAAGTGTATTTTGTGTACAATGTGTTGTTGGATAAATATTTTTTCTCTTAGCTATATACACCATAATTAACATAACTTTATTTAGAAAAATATCCAAATGAAAGAACATCAATTTAACAATACCATCCAAAATTATTTTGTTTACAGGGATTTTAAAATGTCAAGTCTTCTCCTTCAAATCCTGTAGGAGCTTGATAATGCATTAATGTAAAATTTTTATTTTCATACAAATAAAATTATATTTTTTAATGAAGATGTCTGGTGTATGTGTCAGTTCATAACAGTATTACTTGTGAAAAGATTTTTATTGAAATTACTTTTATACCCACAGGTTTTTTCAAAAACTTGGAGATTATAGATCAGCCATTCGTTTCTTAGTACTGTCTCACTGTCATGATGAAGCTTTCCAGTTAGCCCGCCAGCATGGTCAAATGGAACTCTATGGAGATATTCTTGTTAATACCATAGATGTTGAAGCTCGGCCAAATGACTTCAGAAGCCTGGCTTTGCATTTTGAAACAGAGAAGAACAATTTTCTTGCTGGAAAATTTTATATGCATGCTGGAGACTATACAAAGGTGCTGCTTTTAGCAAATATTATAATTAAGGAAAATATGTTCTTTAATTTTTTTTAAGTTTGTTGTTGTTCTATTTTATTTTAGTCGTTGAAGCACCTGATGAAAGTTATTAAATCAAATTCAGAAGATTCTGAGGCAATTAATTTGGCTATTGATGTTGTTGGGGTAGCAAATGATGAGCATCTGGCAAGTCAGCTGATTGAGTTTCTGTTGGGTGAAAGCGACGGGATACCAAAGGTACATGTAGTGATTTGCTTACTGATTTTGTTACTAGAAATGAAATACGGAGTAGTGAAAATATTTATCCTGATATCATTTATCTTTCTTATCATACATACAGGGATGTTTTGTTTCCTTTACATATCCCTTACACTAGTCTTAATGCATGTTTGAACACCATTTTAGATAAGGACGAAAAGATTGTCAGTGTACTAGTTTGTATTTTTGTCTTAGGATGCCAAGTTTCTCTTCAGACTATATATGGCACGAAAACAGTACAGAGAAGCTGCAAAGACAGCTATTATTATAGCTAGTGAAGATCAAATGAATGGTAATACCAAACTTTCATGTTTTGTTATTTTTGAAATTATTAAATCAGAGTTTTAGAGTTCAGAATTTCTGTTAATAATTGTGAATTGTTAATTTGTTGGTTGGGAAAAGAGATACTAAAATTTTATGTAAATGTGTTTGCAGGTAATTATCGCTGTGCACATGATGTGTTGTTTGGAATGTACCAGGAACTTCAACGTAATAGGATTAAGATTCCTGCAGAAATGCAACATAACCTTATGCTTTTGCATTCTTACATTCTTGTTAGATTACATGTGCGACATGGAGAGCACAAAATGGGAGCACGAATGTTGATACGTGTTGCGGATAATATTTCAAAGTTTCCATCACGTTAGTCACTTTATTTCAATAGTAGTAGTAGTAGTAGTAGTAGTAGTAGTACCAAACCAAATAAAATTAAAGCTATGTGGAATATAATAAATGAATCTAATTGCAACATGGTAACAACCTGATAAATAATGCCTGAATATCTACGAAGCTTTCAGTGAGTGCTTCTTAAATGTAGGGTGTGTAACAAAATATATAAATTACTGTATAAACAAAACCATCTATCTAAAGAATACAGACGTAAGAGAGGTAACTTGCTAAGTAACAGTAGATCGGCAGTCTGGGATGAGATATCACCAATTGTACTGAAAATATGCAAAAATTCATTAACTAATGTTTTAGAGACCTTAATAAATAGTTCATTGAATGAGTGTATATTTCCAGATATCCTAAAAATTAGTGTTGTGAGATCCATTTACAAGAAGTGTAATATATCTGAAATTCAAAACTATAGACTTATAACACATTCTGCTTTGCAAAACTTTTTGAAAACTTATTGCTGATTTTGTAAATAACTTCTGGAAAAAAACAATATACTAATCATCACTCAACATGGTTTTAGGAGAAATAAATCCACCATTACAACTGCAACTGATTTCATACATCTAATACCAACCAATCTTGAAAATAACCTGAAAAAAAACTGGAATATTTATAGACCTATCCAAAGCTTTTGAGAGTGTAAATCACAATTTATTACTTATGGAACACTTAGGAATAAGAAGTAATATGCATGAACTAATCAAGTCATACTTATTGGTATTATGGTGAGTTATTGTTGGCATTTACAATGAAATAATTATATGAGTCATCATGACGACTCATAATTATTTCAAGTCATATTTACCAGATCAGGGACTGTGTTTTCAAATACTTTGGGAAATTGACAACTGCATTGATAAAACATAATCGAAGTTAAATAAACTCTGGTGTTCCACAAGGATCAATATTGGGCCATTACAATTTCTGCTCTGTATCAATGACTTTTCATAACAATGAAATATAAACTAATAATGTATGCAGATAATTTAAGTATAATTTGTGGCAATAAAAATTAACAAGATTGGAGAATAATGTGGTAGAGGCATTACAAAAAATATATAAATACTTGAGAAATAACAACCTACATTTAAACACAAACAAAACTCAAATGATACATTTCCAACATTCTAATCATGAAAACACAGGCAACTAAATCAATTTCAAAAGAAATGACAATGATATCAGCCGATTGTCACAGGTTTCTAGGAATTTATATTGATGAGAACGTAACCTACAGTAGACTTATTGAAGAAGTCTGTAATAAATTAAATACTAACATATTCATTTCGAGAAATCTTAAAAGATACATGACAATGGATATGCTTAGGTCAATATGTTATGGAATCATTCATTCATATATACAATATGGTATAAAAATATGTAATACGAATATTAAGTTATGGCACTTCTAGAATTTAAATTAATTTTAATGGAGGTGGCTCAGAGCAAAGTCGCTCGCCTTTCACTAAGGACCAATTTAAATTCCTGGGCAATCTCATGTGAAATTTGTTCTGACAAAACAAGTTTGCCTGCTTCACAGGGGCTAGTCTAACCCCTGTGAAGTGTCCTAAACCCTACCCTTTTCCCAAATCGCGCCTTATTCTGTCTGGTAGGTAGTAATGCAGGAGCGCATGTGGGAAGCATGTACGTGAAAATGCTATGTGGCGGTTCTCTGGACAAGATTAAGACATAGGTACAGACTTTATATATAATAGTAATGGAAGATTACTCCAATAAATGTATATAGTAATGGAGGATTACTCCAAAAGTGCTCAACACTCAACAAAGGGTTAGGAAACGCATTGCGTCATGATGAAGACATAACAAATTTTTTGAAAAAGTTAATTAATAAATAATACTGAACAGTGCAATGAGTAACATAACAACACTCCATATGTTTGCTTGTCCAAATACTAACTTATAAAATATCTTAATATAATTGTAAGTAATTATCTTAATCCAAGTCCTGATTGACATTGTTTGCCTGCCCATTATATTCTTATTATTATTATTATTATTATTATTATTATTATTATTATTATTATTATTATTATTATTATCATTATTATCATTATCATCATTATCATCATTATCATCATTATCAGTATTATCATTATCATTATTATTATTATTATTATTGTTGTTGTTGTTGTGATGAAGACAAGTGTGGTGTTCTTTTGAGTGAGGGAAACTGTGGATATTCCAATGCACTGAATGTGGGACTCTCATGCACTCAAACCATGAACCCTTTCCCTTAGATGGAGATCTAATTTGAAACCGTTTTCACATTACTTTGGACTGACATCTCTGCCAATAGATGTTTCTTCCATCACTGAGGGAAGATCCCTCTTTTAGGCAGTGTTGTAGATGTGCATTACATCTGTGAACATCATTATATCATGAATAATGTTATTACTTTAGAATTAGCCTTTGGAGAGTTTGTGTCTTGGATCTGAAACAGTTTAAAAAGTTCAAATGTTTAGTGGAATAAGTGGATTACTTGTGATCTAAACAATTTAACTTCTTTCTTGGAAAATGAATTGTTAAATATTTTATTCCATTTGTACTATTTTATGACATAAAATTCTTAGCGCCTCCTTATAAATATTGTTTCAGATATTGTTCCTATTCTTACATCAACAGTAATAGAATGCTCCAGAGCAGGATTAAAAGGATCTGCATTTACATATGCAGCTATGTTGATGCGTGCTGAATACAGGTCCCAGATTGATCCCAAATATGCCAAGAAGATTGAAGCTGTTGTTCGGAAGCCTGCAGCTCGAGGCAAAGCAGGCTCAGAGGAGGAAGAGTCTTCAACACCATGTCCATATTGTGACGCCTTGGTTCCAGAAACAGAACTCAATTGCTCACACTGCAAAAACACTATACCATTTTGTATTGCCACTGTAAGTACATTAGAATGTTGAAAATTCTGTGCAATTACATGTCAATAGGCAATGTCGTGAAGACGGGTTTTAACTTTTAACTAGTAGCATAGCTTCTCTGTCAGCATAAAGTTTGCAATATTGAGTGCATTGATTGTAGTGTCTGCCTGGAAAAGTTGTGTATCTTTTGAGGGTTTGTTGTGGATGTGACAATGAAAAATATTTGTGTGTCTCCATCTGATACTGAACCCTGAGACTCTAGTTACTTTTCTGTTTTAAGATATTAGTAGAATGTAATAATACCAAAAATGCCTGTAGCGTGCCTACTGATAATGTCTATTGCATTGTGTCTGAGTAATCATTACTGTCACTTTCTATATATTCTTCAGAATCACTTAATGTTTTAAAATTCTTAGCTTTCTTAAGATTGTTCACTCTCAGAATTGTTTATTAATTCCTTATTTCTCAACACCACCAAAAGTGCAACTGCAGCCTTCAAAATAAACTGATTTCAAACAACAAAAAGTAGGCAAAATCTGGAGACAACAAAGGAAATTACTGCCCAATCTATTCTTAAAAGAATTAGTTGTATTATCAGTGTAAATCAGTACCATCTACCTGAGTGAAGTTGCACAAGAGTCAAAAATAAATTCCCCCCCCCCCAGGGGCAGTGGACCAGAACCAGGAAAAGAGAAAGTCCCTTGGTGTGGGACATAGGACCGCATGACAAAGAAAAAAGAAAAGCGAAAGGACTGCGAAAGGGTTAAGCAGAAAGAAGGCAAAGGCATATCCTACTACTATAAATAAAACCTGCAGCAAATTAGTAATGTCATTTAAATACAAATGGTGTCTATTAAACTGCACAAAATAGTCGAATTTATTTAGCTTATTTTGTACTTTACAGGAGAAACACTAGCTGTATTGCCTAATGCTAGATTAGTGCAGTATAGTTTTTTTTAAAAAAAGTTTTAAGTTTAGCAAACAATCAAAATTTTTCTTTCTTTCATCAACTTCATTGTATGTCTTCTAAGGCTAGGTTTTGTGGTTCTAGTAAAAAACATTGTTTAATTCAAGAATGTTATAATATCCATCCAAAATTTTATTATTTATTTAATGTATGGACAATTTATCCACAAAAATACATAAAGTAACTTGAAAATGCATCATCAAAAATATGTAAAAAGCACATAAAAAATAAGATAATTAATCGGCAATATGTTGCTCCACATGTTTGATAAAAATTTATTAGTTTTCTTTGTTTATGTTCATGTTTAGTGCATTAGGTGTTTTACAAAACTGGAAGATATGAGTATTGGCTGTGTAAAGAGTCTATAAAATTTAAGAAAACAAAAGTGTTGTTGTTTCTAGAATTAAAGTGAAAATTTTCTTTTTTCTAGTTTTTCTTTTGATTTCTTGTAAGTTTGTCTTCAGGGTTAATGAATGAGTTTATCACTCATATTAACATTTTTTTTGATATGAAGTGCACGTTGTGTTTGTATTGTAAGAAAGTGTCTTGGCTGATAAAAGCTCTTTTCCAATTTTAATGGTAATCAATTATGCGACATGACTTATAAAAGGGGCATTACATTTCTATCAACAGCACCTAAGCTATATGCGGACATGTGGAGGAACAGACTCAATGAAATATGTGAGGATTTCATGGGAGAAGAGCAATGTCGATTCTGAAAGGATAGAAACACTAAAGACACCACCTTTACATTACAGATGTTAATAGACAAAAGCAGAGAATAGAATCTACAAACTTCTATAATATTTATTGATTATAAAAGGCATATGACAAAAGTTAATAGACAGAAACTCTGGAAAATACTAGAAGAGGAGAAAGTTTCAAATCAGTTGCTCAATGCAATACAAAGTTAATACAAGAATTCAAGAATTAAAATACTGTTAGGAGAGGGAAGAAAGTTGACAGCAATAACAACCGACAGTGGCTTATGGCAAGGATATAAATTATCACCCATCCTCTTCAACATATACACACTGAAGAGCCAAAAAAACTGGTACACCTGCCTAATACCATGTAGGGCCCTTGCGAGCACACAGAAGTCCCACATCAATTTGTGGCATGGACTCGACTAATGTCTGATGTAGTGCTGCAGATAATGGACACCATGAATCATGCAGGGCTGTACATAAACTCGTAAGAGTACAAGGCAGTGGAGATCTCTTTTTAACAGCATGTTGTAAGGCATCTGAGATATGCTCAATAATATTCATGTCTGGGGATTTTGTTGGCCAGTGGAAGTGTTTAAACTTAGTAGTGTTAGAGCTATTTTGTAGCAACTCGGGATGCGTTGGCTGTTGTGTTGTCCTTCTGGAATTACCCAAGTCCGTCGGGATGCACAATGAACATGAATGGGTGCAGGTGATCGGACAGGATGCTTATGTATGTGTCACCTGTCAGAGTTTTATCTAAATGTTCCGTATCACTCTAACTGCACATTCCCCATTCCATCACAGAGCCTCCTCCAGCTTGAACAGTTCCTTGTTGACATGCAGGGTTCATGGATTCATGAGGTTGTCGCCATACTCATACACGTCCATCTGCTTGAAACAGTGTGAAACGAGACTTGTCCGACCAGGCAACATGTTTCCAGTCATCAACGTCCAGTCCAATGTTGGTATTGGCAGGCCCAAGCAAGGCGTAAAGCTTTGTGTTGTGAAGCCATCAAGAATAGGCTAGTGGGCCTATGGCTCCAAAACCCCTTATCGATAATGCCTCGTTGAATGGTTCGCACACTGATACTTGTTGATGTCTCAGCATTGAAATCTGCAGCCACCTTAACCACTTAGTGAGAAACTGGAGAAGGAATACAGATCACAAAAAACAAGATTCTAGTTACAATCTTGTATGCTAATGACAAAACTGAAGATAATTGAAGAAGACAGTCTGAAGATAATTTACAAAGAGCAGTTTTTGAATTGATAAAAGTAACGCAAGAATATTTCATGAAGATAACAGTTCAGAAAACAAAATGGCAATTAAGCAATATGGCAAAATAAGAAAAGGATCAAAGATAAGCCAAAATAGTAATAGTTGGAAAATTAGTGGAACAAGTAAATAAATTATCACTTGGAAATATCATAAGTGTATACAAACAAATTCAGGAAGATATAGAAAACAAACTCAATAACTACAATAGATTATGTGGATCAATTAAGAGACACTTTGTCAGAGACATGGACCCAGAAACAATACAAACTTTACAGTAGAGCTGCTAAACCTAGAATCATGTTTGGCTCTGAAATATGGGTAATGAAAGAGAGAGATAAGCAAAAACTACAGGTGGCACATATGAGATTTCTAAGACACCTCATGGGAGTCGTAAGAAAAAACAGACTGAGAAATAAAGACATCAGAAAGAAATTGAAAACCAAACATTTAGTAGGAGAGATAGAAGAGTCTCAAAAGAGATGGAAAGATAATTTACAGAGAATGAACAACAGATTGCCATAATTAATCTGGAAGTACTAACTGTCAGGAGACTGTTTGCCGACTTTTGACGTAGCGAGACTGATGATGATGGCAAAGCCCTCTCTCTGAATAAATATATTAAGTTGATGCAGATGACTTCCATTATTTCTTCATTACATTGTGTCATAAGGGAACTCTCCTTACTCTTTAGGGATAACATAAAATGTTAGATACAAATGAAAATGCAATTAAAGGAAAACATTGCTTAATGTGAAAAGTGTTAGAAAACAGAATGATTTGTGTAATGTTCATATTCATGTATCCAACAGGTTAATTAAATGTGCTCTAAATATTGATCTTTTAGGTTTCTTTTCAAACCTCGTTGTTTTTCTAAAGATCAGGAGATATCCCATTAATCAATATGATGCTTTAGGGTAGAGATCATTCTGTGAACCATACAAGTGAAATGTGTAAAAAATAAATACATAAATTTAGTTTTTGTCCTCTTGCTAATTGTTTAAAAGTTTATATGACAGTGAGATTGATAACTTAAATGATTAATGTTTCAGGGTCGACATATTGAGAAGGAGAATTTGACAGCTTGCCCCAGTTGCAATTTTCCAGCTTTGTATTCAGAGTTACATACGTAAGTGTGTTGTAAGTTTTTACCATAATATAGATCAGTTTCCAACCTATGAGCTATGAATAGTGTATTAGTGGGCCACAGAATGCTAGTCAAGGGTCACAGTCAGAAGCTGTTACTAAACTTGCATTGACACATTGCATGGCGGTTCTCAACCATTTATATGTACGAACACACTTTCTCAACTTTAGATTAAAAAAGAAAGAAAAAAGTACAGAAACAAACTGAATGTGAAAAGTGACTTGAGAGTGAAATTGTCTAGTTTCAATCCAGATGTGATCATTACCCTGTTTCTTCCCAGACCTGTCGCTGCACAAATGGTGTATGAATGTGACAGATGAATGTTAACTGCCTGCATTTTTGCTTATGAGTCACAAACCGCAGGAGTAGGAGGCTGGAATGGGCTAACAAGCAGTGGCTTCTAGTAGAGGCTAGAGTCAAGGTACTCTAGGATGTTAAAAAGGCAGTGGTATTAACTGTGGGCAGGGAGCGCCACCAGATAACTGAAAGATCAAGTTGACATAAAATGCCCAATAATATATTGGCATTTTTTTGAGTAATTTTGATTCTTTGCGACACATATTTCACAGATATTTTGAATGTAATAGGTGGGGCTTGTGGCGTTACAATGTCATATAAACATCTCAAAAACATTGAAATTACTCAAAAAAATGCTTGTCTGACGTATAACAATATGTATATCATTGGATGAACATGTCCTTCTACATTGGGTAAAATTTAATGACAGCTGGCACAGGCACAGTCTGAGTAGCTCTCTAAGCAAAGGTGCTGGGCAATGACGAGTCAGCGCTCTCAAACCTCTTTTCCCTTCAGTTTGGAAAATAGATTTTAGCATTTGGTTAGAGAGAAAGTGCAATATGTTTTTCTGTATGGTACTAGGCCTCCACAACCAGTACAATTTCTTCACTTCTGTATAATATACTTATTAACGTGGCCTTTAGGACTCAATTTTAAATTATAAATGTTGTTTTATTTAGTGTGATAGTTGCATCTGCAATATTTTTTATTCTTGTTTTTTATCAACTTTATTATCAAAGCACCCTTTGATCCTCAATCAGTCAATTAGAAATGTATGAACTTGTTTTGGGGAGGTGGAGAGGTTTGGATAATTTTGTGCTGTTTAAGAGGGATCGTGTCAAAATACTCACTTCTGAACTTCAGAATTTGATCTCTTTAAATTTTATCTGCTGTGACTGAGGAAAAGAGCATACTTTGCAGTTGTGGAGAATAGGGATGCAAAAGAGAAATAAAGACTATTTCATGATATATGAAACAGTTGATAACCTCGGAGCTTAAGTAGATAGTGAAGTACTTTTTTGACGATTCCTCTGTTGGCTGCAACGTTATTGACTGTTACATGTTTTTCAATATATTGTATGAGTGTATAGATAAAATAACAAAATACATTAGAAGATTTAGGAAGGGATACATATATAAATATTGCTATTTGATATTTCAGAATATTTGAGTATGGTGAAGCATGTCCAATGTGCAGTGAAAGAGTTGAACCAAGCAAGCTAACTAGTAACATTGATCCACGGCCTTTCTTATACCCAATCGGTGAAGACTAGTTAAAAAAGGTTTGTTTTTTCCTATTTATAACTCTGAATTATTGAAAAATTTATATTTCAAAATGCAACGATTCAAATCTCATAAAATTGTGCTCATTTGGTGTGTGCAGGTTGTCTTGTAGTGGCTGATTGAATATGTAATCAATTCATCAAGAACATGTGTAATGATGTTGCTGGAAGATAAAACTTGATTATTTTTTTTGTCAAAGAAAATGAGAAAAAATACTTCCAATTAATGAAGTAATTCTGTGAAAATAATCCGTCCATTATTTGTATTATATTTATTATTAATTGTGTTGCATGTATTGTGTATCGTTGCAGTATTTGCAAAACTTAGTCTTTAAATGTACTTACTATCATTCAATTTTGAGTCAGATAGGGTTATTTATTGAGAATATTACTTAAAAAAAGCAAGATTGTATGAAGAAAAATTATTTTACTGTCGAGATGTTCATGAGTAATCTATTTGTTTGAGATGAATATTTCAGGTTAATATATCTTTTGAAAGTATATGTTTGCAAAGATGAGTGTAAGTATGTTTTCCAACCAAGAGTTTAAAAAAATAAAATAGGTCTGATGATACATAGTTATTTTGAAAAGAACTTTTGTGTAGTTGTTTCTTTGTCATTTACTCTCTTTTTAGTAGTTGTATTAAAACTTGCAATTGATTAACTATTTAAAATCTATATTATTTTCTAGCAATTCCAAAGTAGTTTAGCGGCAAAATCAGCTAATTTTTTCAAAAAAATTGAAAATAACTTTTTTAATGAGCTGACTTTTTACAACAGACTCTCTAAAGTAAAAACACTTTCTATAATTTTTTAGTTTTGAAACTGCACGTTCTTTTAGTACTTTCGAAAGAATGTATCTATAGCTGAAAATGAGACTAGCACAACATTTTTTACAGTACTTTATTACATATATGGAGAAAATTTAAAGAAAAAATTTGGAGTGGTGTTTGAGATTTTTTCCCCCTGTAAATTCCAAGTGCAAATTAAGCAAAAAATTACTTTTCAAAACGGAAATTACGCAAAAATCTACAATTTTGTAGATTTAAACTTTTTCTTTTGCAATTTTTGAAAAACCAAGCAATACCTGAAAATGCAAATACTACCATATTTTTCACTGTCCTTTATTACAAAACAAGAAAATTTAAACAAAAAATTTGAAGTGTTTTTGAGAAAAAAATTGCGATAACGTCAAACTCATAAACTAGTACTTATTTTCTCAAAAACATGAACATGACCTTTCTTAAAGAGCTAATTTTGTACAAGGTACTTTGTTCGAGGCAAAATTTCTTTCTTCCATTTTGTAGTTTTAAAATTTGTTTTTGCAATTTTTTAACAAATCGGGGGTGTCAATGAAAATGATAACTGCCCCATTCTCTTAAATGTCATCCTCACTATTCAACAACAAAACTAATCAAAAAATTTGGTAGCATTTTTGAGAAAATTTTGAAAATGTTTTTCAAAATTCATCATGTGAAGAGCCCTCAAAAATCAAAATATCCTTTTGAAATTGGTAAAGCAACGAGTTCATTCAGATCAATTGGCGAATATCAATTTTGAAGAAAATCAGCTGAACAGTTAAGGTGCTAGCGTTGACCACAGACAGACAAACAGCTAGACTTTAGCTGTCAATAAATTTTTCAGTGTCCAGAACCAAAAAAAAATATGGCAGGATTTATCCGCTTTTTTGTTACCAGAACTTGGCAATTAAGTTTCTTCTGGCGCACAATTACATAACTTTCTCTTCTTATGAAGAATTTGTAAAGCGAGAAGGTCAAAATATTATACTTAATTATCAAATTACAATTCAGAAAAGGCATTGAATAGGAGTAGCGATAGAGTACATCCTTGTTAGAGTCGAACAGTTGTGGAGATTGCTGATGTGATTTTTCAATCTATGTTTTTGATTTTAATTTAAGATTGCTTGTGGAAGCTCTTGATGGCTTCTATTAGGTGCATGTCAGTGTTTCTGTGGTCTAGAATTTACCATAGTTTGTGTCTGTTCACTGTCCTAAAGATGAAGCTATATTTGAACGTAAATTATTATGTCTAAAAAATTATCGAATGTTAAAAAAAAAGTTCAAGTATTAAAATATTTTGGTAAAAGATACTGTGACTTTCTACTCAAGAACGTTTTATTTCACTCAAAAGATTGAAAAAAATGTTCCTATACCCACCTGTAATAATTGTTTTTTATCATCCATAGGCAATAAGAAAAATGTTTATAGCTGCCCATCCTGACCATAGACATCTAACTCATTGCTACTACCCATTCAAATATTTAATAATTAGGATTTCCAATGTTTCTTAGTTATAAGTAATACTGTTGCTCCTATCTCTACATAATAAAACACATACAGTGAAAGATTACAGAAAAGAAGGGAAGTCATGCCTAAACAAAATTTGTTTTCTTTGACAACACCTTCCAAATTTTGACTTCTCTGGATAAAAAAGTTCTGGTTCTATATCAAACAATTTTTTTGACTCTGCTGAGTTCAAAGTATTTCTTTTGCTAAAACTCTTCCATATCATTTGGCACTTTCATTTTGGGGCCTAATTCCAAATAATCAATTACAGAACGTGACATTTTGCAGATTCAGAAACTAGCTATCAACCCTCATAATTTTGTTATCAACTTAACCGTAGGTGTTAAGTGATTGATATTTTTTCTTTCCCTTTTGGTCAGAGCTACCTTCTAGTATTGCCTGGCCCCTTTCCCAGCTGACATCTATTGGCACCAGCTAGGGTCACTGTTTTCTAGGACGTCTTTCCAGTGAGGAACCCCTTGTGCTCCCTGAAGGGCTGATGATGCCCTTAGGCTCATCTTCGTCCTGAACAATTACAATTATCCCCAAAGTACCCCAATGGCGCATATCAGTGGTTGTACAATTAAAGCAAGTCTGATCAACCCCTTATTCATGTGCAGACAGATCATGCACAGCCTTACTGGTCAGGGAAGGGATATTGAGATGGTAATGCAGCTGGGAATGCCTTCATCAGGACACAGCTGATGGATCTAGAAGGCCAGCTGACATAGATGAAAGGGAACATGTCTATCACACAAGCTGCTCCAACTAGAAATGACAGGATATGATAGGCCACCTATGTTTATGCAGGATCCAAATCTGGGTCTTCATGTACCACACACTTGAGCATTATTCCCTTAGCTACCGCAGCCACTTGGATCAGCAGTTATATTAAAGAGCTGAAGGTTTGAAGTAAGGACTAGAGGCAAAGATATGTGATAGGAAAAGAAAAAGAATATTTAATGTTTTTCCCTTTAAACTTTCTTACAGAAAGTACTTCTGAAGATTTATACAAGTCTTCTGTTTTACTTCATAATACACTTTTATTTAATAATAATATTTGCATCACAGCACACAAAAGATCATGCTCTCAAACACACACACACAATACGTACATACAAAAATCACTGACTTCATATCGTAGTGAAATACGACAGCACAATGATGTAGTGATGCTGAACACTGCAAACTTTTCACAAAAGCACTACTTCTTCACAGCAAGACATCAGACTGGATTACACTTGTTGCCATTTGTTCACTATCATTCATAACACACAGTATGTGGTAATCAACTGTTTATGTAAGTGCAAAATTTGCTTTGGAAGGGTAAGAGCAATTAAAGAAATTCTGTAACCTACACAAAATCATTTCCGATTTTGTAATGCATTTGAAAGCCAGTCCATAGCAGAATCCAAGCCTTCACCCTTAGTTGCCGATGTCTTAAAAATTTGAAATGTTCTGTTTTTAAGTGCATCCAGACCTAATGCTTGATGAACTTCTGCCACACTCAGGGCTCCTTCTATATCTTGTTTATTTGCTAGGACAACTAAAATTGCACCTTGCAATTCATCTTCCTGCAAGAAAAAACTTAATTAAATCTTTTTTATGACATTATGAAGATAACGGCATGAAAACTACTCTATTCCAAGATCTTTGTTGATGTACTTTAGCCTGAATAGGAACATAAAGTTTAAAATGTAGTAGGATGAGGATTAGAGAAACTGAAGACTAATTTTACAGAAAAATGTTAGTTTATGTCACTCGGAAACTGAACAGACAAAAACCATAAAAACAGCTTTAATAAATTAGTTTCCTCAATAAGAGAAATATTAACTTGTATTTTTATAAATTGATTGATATTGAGGTATTATAATTAGATAATTATTATCTAAATAAAATTATGACTTTTTTCTTGTACAAACATAATGAACTCACCCTTAGCATATACAGTAGTTCATCTTTTGAAATTCCTATTCTATCACGATCAGCTGAATCCACAACATAAATAATTGCATCGGTGTTAGAATAGTAACAACGCCAATATGGTCTGAAAAGGAAAATAATGATTATTCATTATAATACTTTACAACACAAAATGTTAATGCTTTGTGTATAGTACCATACCTAATGCTTGTTTGACCTCCAAGATCCCAAACTTGAAATTTCAAATTTTTGTATGTTACTTGTTCAACATTAAAACCAATTGTTGGAATTGTAGTAACAACTTCACCAACTTGCAACCTTATGGTTAAAAAAAATACATTAGTAACTCTTTCTTACAGTATTCAATTCCATTTGGTTATGTATGTTACCTATAAAGTATTGTTGTTTTACCAGCACCATCTAGACCAAGGATAAGAATTCTAACTTCTCGAGTGCCCAGCAGATTTCTGAAGTAACTTAATAATCCACCTGGTGAAAAAGAATGTCAGTAAAATTATGACAAAACCTTATCCTCGTTACTGATATTAACATTTTTCCTGAAGCATACGAAAATTTATCTATCGTGCGATAATGTGCCGACTAGCGGTCATTGAAGTACTGTAAGTGCAAAACCATTTAAGCATTTCTTCGTTCAATTTACGTACCCATTGTTCGTAAGGAGGCAGCTTTTAATTAATTTTCGCGAGCGCCCTCGCTATTTTAACCTCCAATAATTATTTTATGAGCAGAACACCTCCAACAGTCAATACATACGGGCATAACAACACATGAAATTTGACGTGTACAGTAACAGTGGAGCCAACAACTGAAGTTTGGGCACAAGAACAAATGTTGGTCACACTGCATTATTTCACCGCGCTATTCCTTGGAGGAACCATTTTGAGGCGAAGTTCATTCGGGAGGTACGCATTTTGAATGGAGTTCGTGCGACCTAATAGAATCACAAGACAAATCGTGAGAACGAAGCTGTGGTGCGTATATTTGTGACGGAGGTTTCTTGCGCGTGTAATTAAAAACTGTAACTTTTGGACCCTCGCGTAGACTTGACAGTATCAGCAGAATGTAAACTAACATTTTTCGGAAGACCTACAATAACAACAGGTGAGATGTTCTGTCAAAAAGTTTTATTATTCACGATCCTATTGTTTGTGATGTTAAATTATATTAAAAAATCGTTCTGAATAAGTAAACGTTACGTAGATGAATTGAATTACGTAGGCGTGGAAAGCAGTGTTGTCTTGTCACTTGTTTCCTGCTTTTGGACGACCCTGTGGAATGCATAGCCGCAGGACACAGGGAAGCCATCACAGCAGCTCCAGTGACTGCCCGAGGGAACCCGTTCGTCATGATTCGGACGTACCTATCGTGCCGCCGAGAAAGTCAAGCCTGTCAAATAAACCTCAGTGCGTCGAGTACTGCCCTTCGACATTATCCTTTCTTATATTTTGTTGTAATATTGTTGGTGACGTTTATTTCCTTCTTTGAAATGTTTTTAATCCGCACGAAAATATATATATATTTTGTCAGCTAAGCTACTATGATTACTGTTGCGTTTAATCGTTGACCTGTACAAACTGTGTTGCGGTGACTTCAATGCGGGAGAAAGGAGGCATCTTATTCTTCAAAATTGATGGAATTTCCCTTTTAAAGTATTTTGTTTGAACATTTTTAACATCGTTACGAATGTTATGAATTGTCATAGCTGGCACAAGTGGTAAAAGCAGCTTAAAATCGAAAAGTCTACGAAGTTCGAATTATGAAAATATAATGTAGTCTCGTTCATCCATTTGCTCAAAAACTACTTCAAGTGTTTAATGTAGTTTTTCCTTTCGAACAATTTGTTTGCACGCCTATCTGTCAGTTTTCATCTCTCCCTACATTTTTTAAAAAAAATAGAACTGCACGGAAATTTATCTATGAAATGTGCGTAGAAATTGCGACGTATCTGACATTCCTGCGCCTCCTTGAGGGCGAAGAACGCGTGTGTTGTATTGTTTTCTTTGGCTCATCACATCGAGCGCTGCGCGAGAACTCGTTCCTAACGCCGCGTCGTACCACGGAGGTTCGCTGTCGACCGCCTGGCCTCTGGGGTCTTTCGCCCCATGAAATGTACTCAGGCACAGCTCATTTGGAATGCGACTGGCTGAATCGCCGACAAAAATATTTTGAGAACTCTTTTTATGTCGGTTGTATATGGTATTTTGTGAGCCAAGGTAGCTACTAAACATGTAACTCGCGTTGAGGCATAGCTCAATGTGACACTCGTACTGGAATACTATGAAGTTAGACGTTGAAGCATAGTACAAACGTCCCTTTGCTTGAGATGCCGGAAGAGTTGGAGCATATGACATGGGGATTATGTGATATGCGACGAACCTTAATGCTTTCTCAATAGAGTAACTCCGATTGTTTTATCTACTCGTAATCGTAATACATAGTACTAGGACCCGTACGAACATTCCGCGCTTTATAAATTATTGTTTAAAATGTATAAATAGGTTCATACCCGCCATATCAATGAAGGCATACTGAAACCCAAATCCGAACCTCTACTCTACTGACGACCCGTGCTGTAGGGAGGGTGGAATGAGTTTAACAAACGTTCCATAGGCGCGATCCAAGAAAGTATAATTTTGTAGTTAACGGTTAGTAACTCGTCCTTCGGGGCTATAAAACCATGGTTTTAAGATCTCGGGACTCATCATTATGAATAATCTGTAATGTTAAAGGTTATTGCGAAATAACATGTGCTGCATGTAATATAGGCGTCTACTTTCCTCCTTACCATAATCTGCTAACATCTATTTTTGCCGTCTTAAATTTGTACGATGCTTAAGGCCCTTAGTGAATAATTCCCTATCCAACAGTAGCACATCTGCGAGATTAAGGTTTGCTTCTTTACATGTGGTTCAAAAAAGCCATATTTCTTTCCCGTATTTTATAAAAGAGTAATTAATATTCAGAATCTGTCAAACGAATTCTTCAGGGTCGAAAGATCTTCGGTTCACTATCCGTTCGTTGATCAGTTTTACGGGAACCGCAGCTTGAGATCTTTGCTTCACCTCACACAAAATATTCGAAAGATTTATGAAGATGTATTTGGTATGACTTGGGGAAGTTCTGAGCGAAATGTTTTTATGTCGGAATCTTCAGGTTATATTCCAGTGATCTCTTGTTAATATCATCCACAATACTTATTTTGTGAGCATAAAAAGTGGAAAATGGGTTTCAAGAGAATTTGACGTTTTCCCGCCATGTGAATGGTGGTTACTAGTGGCCTGCAGAAGCAAATATGATATCGAGTGTGTGAAAATTGGGGCTCTGGAATTGCAAAAATTGGCTGTTCTGAAACGGCACACGTGAATGCTGAAACTTCTTTCTTTCCTTCGTTGCAACACCATAAGCGTACGCACCCTGAAGTACAGAGGGGGGAATATATTTCTGGACACCTCTTAGGCCCCTTTTCATTTTAACTTGCTTATTTACACACGACATTTTACTCGTAAAGAAATTGAACATTATACCCGTATGGAATTAAAACTTTAATAATACAATTAATAAATACAATTGATTGTGTACAATTTGTGTTGACCATTTTCAGGGAAGACACATGGGTTGGAGAGTCCCAAATGGCGTGTATTAATCTCCCAAATTGTCAGGTTAAATGGGAGGGGGCAGGAGCTGATCATATTTATTGAAATAAAATGTTTTCTTACGTTGGACTAACGGACTCCTTTTCGATAGGGAGTTTGTGCACGCCATAGCGGACTGCACTATCGATCTTCTGCGCAACCTCATTGCTCGTAAGTGATGCGAAACTTAAACTGTGCATGCGCAAAAGGTCGATAGTGCTTTAACATTCGAGGATGCACAAACTCCCTCATATTGTCAGGGGGTGACTGCTCTTCCCCTCCCCCGTGCCCCAATCCCCCATCTGTGCCATCTACGCCTGACGTCACATGTGTCGTAAGCAATAACGTTTTCTTGAGTACGAGCGTGTATTCATAATATCAGGTACAAGCAATTATGGATTAACATAATCAAATATTTGCATTTCACCGTAAAATGGAAATTCATTGTTTTTGTATTTCCCGGTCCTCCTGGATATCTAACGAAACTATTTACTCATCACATGGCCAGAGGCCATTTAGTTTTCCGCCAACCTATGCGAATATTCGAAATTAGTATATATAATATAGATACATATTTCAGCCCCGCAAACCCCATGAAGGGACAAAATACCAAACAGAATTTTGTCAAATTGCCATGTTTATCATTAAATTGGCATCAAATTTATTCGAACGATTCGGATTTGTCGCACATATCGCTATAAACATGTAAAATAACAATACTGTTGAGCCGATCTTGCAACATAGGTAATCGTATATACGTTTTGAGACGACACAATGCTGAGAAGCTTCGTTTATTACTGGAATTTGACGTTTAATGAATATTACTCTCACCCCAAATTTTGAATGGTTATTTTATCCACTCGGAGTTTTTCGTTTGGGTATAGCTACCCAGTATTACAGTAGTTACAGCATTTCATTTCATAGTTAATTAATTTCAAGTTTGGTTGAAATAGCTTCAAGCCGCATCATGTGAGCAATTTGTTTGACACTCATTGACGTCGAACCAAATTCGGGGGTATGGTCGGTAATTAACACGTAGAAATTTCTCACTTTTCTTTCACAAACTTTTTTCTAACTTGTGCTTGATAAGTTTTACTCCCAGGACCAAATGAAGAGCGACAATTATTTTTTGCGTAACAAATCAGTAACAAAAATAGACAAATTTTGAGTTTAATTTCAATATTAATAATACAGATAATATCATCCCTACGTCAATACAGATTTTACTGTTTTTGGACTGAATAAATCTAAATCTAAATATTTTTTTAAAACAGTTACCATGCTAACTTCACGGACAAGAAGAGCAGGCTTAATGGGCTGAACATTGCCATTAATAAAAACTATTTGAATGAGAAGGAAAGAGAGAAAATGTTGCATTTTGCGTGATTAGCGTTCTTCAGAGTTTTCAGAACAGGGATGGGGTTACCATCCGCTGAGTACTCCAGTGGCTGGGCTTGTCGCAATCTTCGAGACGCGCGAGGGCGGTACAGAACGTCGCACACGATTTCGGTCTCCGCCTGGAATGTGTAAAACGGATTAGTTGTTTGCAGACCTCTTGCTGACAAGAAGCAGACTTAACAAACCTCTTGCTGATAAGAAGCTGACATCAGCACTTTTTCTTAAAAGCTCGGATACTTGGCCGGTAGATTAAGTCAGTGTTTGCACGTAGTTTGGAACTAATGTTGGCGATGCTTGTGTTTCAAATGCTGAAGTTGGTAGGGGAAAGAGAGGAGGGTGTAGGTTGGGTGAGCAAGGTAGGTGGAAAAAGTAGAAGGCAAACAACTAACGTGAGTAGGGGAACTTAATAAACAATGGTTGTTCCTGGCGTTCCTTTAATGTCACCGTGCTCGGAGGGAGGCTGGAATGGGTTGGCCTTGTTCGACTCTAGCGGGGTTGGGATATTGTCGTCATTGGTGTCAACGTGAATTGCTATAACAGTACGGTTTGGTCGGGTGATGTCGGTCGTGTCCTGGAGGGTAATAGGAAATTTACTGAAAAGTATCTTTTCTGGCGATGCATGGGCAGATGCAACGGGCATGGAAAGTGGCTGCAGTAGTTCCGCCTCTTTTGACTGTAGCGGGGAAGGGATAGCTTCGTCCTCGTCCAGGTCAATTACTATAGTGGTATGGTTCAGACAGTCTTTGACGGTCGGTAGAAATCGACAGGAGATCTTCGATTGTAATTACCACGTAGGGAGGCATTTTCATTTCTTTTGTTTCACTGGAACTGAGCTCTAAATTTCGGTCTTATTGTAGCTTGTCTGCGGTGCTCCTTCATTATAGATCATATTTTGCAGCTCCTAATGAACTGGCATTGTACTTATTCTTAATATTTGTTTATTACAAAGAAGAAAATCCTAGACGTACATTAAAAGAACTTCGGCGAACTTTCAAATAAATAACAAACTCACAGTTTTCACGGAACGGTTAAAGAAATATCACTGTTAAAAAAATGTTTAAAAGCATTGTGACAAAAATCTTTTAAATAGAAACAGTATTGTACAAACTCAAAGATATTCAGAGAGAGCCTGTGAAAGCTATTATGAAATGATTTTTTTAACCGAATATGTAGATACTAATCTTTCAAACAGGAAGCAATTCAATCTTGCATCGGCACGACCTGTCCTTTTACCTCCCACGTTCAGCTGATCTCGATTTCTAAACTCTTATATTTAAGACGTAGCTCTACCTTCATGGTTACGACGTTTTGATCTCA